TGGCTGCTGGCAAGTTAGATCAGTCGGATGGAGCTGGCAGAGCAGCAGAGCCAAGATTAGAACTGGAAAGGCCTCCTGAGCCAACTGGTCACTGTTTTGTTTGGAACCATGAGCCAAGGAGCCACCAAAGAGACAGCCTCCCATGAGGTGGAGCTGATATGAGTGCCCTTTTTCAAAGGACGTAATCCATCCCAAAGTATAGAGCCTGCTGGCTTCCCAAGCACAGTGGGTTGTGATACTCAATTGTTCATTAGAATCACTCAGGGGAGCTTTTTAAATCTGTAGACACTCAATCCTCAGCCAGAGATTCTCATCCAGTGGCTGGAGGTGGTGTGCAGCCCTAGTGTCTAGTGTTTATGGAAGCTTTCCAAGTGGTTCTAAAGGGCAGTCACCCCAAGAGCCCAGGCTTCATCTATCCTAGCTTGAGGATGAGTCCCTTTCCCTCCCATTTACATTTCTTCCTGGGTCAGGGAACGCATTAATTCCCCCTCCTCCACCAACTGTCTCCGGACAGTGACAGCCTAGTCACCCTGTAAGCCAGGAGAGTCGATGGTTGTCTCTAAGCGAGGAGTGATGTAATTTGCTTTGTGTTTTAGGAAAATAACCATGTAGACAGTATAGCAGAAGGACTGAAAAGAGAGAGCCCAAGGGCTGGGAGACCAGTTGGGTACCTGCCCAGTGCTGCACTATCAAGGCCATCGGGGAAGAGGGCCAGGGATTGGAGGAAATGAGACCTGAAAACATGGTTGAAACTGAACCAACACAAATTTGTTGACTGTCAGGGAGGGTGAGGGTAAGGTAGGAATAGAGACGGAGAGTAAAAATACAAGATGAAACATTATAATTAAATTACCTAAGATTAAAGATATGGAGAGAATCTTAAAAGCAGCAAGAGGAAAGGAGAGAGTTATCTACAAAGGAGTTACCATAAGACTTTCCGCTGATTTCTCAAAAGAAACCTTATAGGCAAGAAGGGGCTGGAAAGAAGTATTCAAAGTCTTGAAAGACAAGGACTTACATCCAAGATCACTCTATCCTGCAAAGCTCTCATTTAGAATGGGAGGGCAGATAAAGTGCTTCCCAGATAACGTCAAGTTAAAGGAGTTCATCACCAAGCCCTTATTCTATGAAATGTTAAAGGGGCTTATCCAAGAAAAAGATCAAAACTATGAACAGTAAAATGACAACAACCTTACAACTATCAACTACTGAACGTAAAAGAAAAAGAAAACATGCTAAGCAAACAACTAGAACAAGAACAGAATCACAGAAATGAAGATCACATAGAAGGTTATAAGCAGTGAGGGGACGGGGGAGAGTGGGGGAAGATGTGCAGGGAATAAGAAGCATAATTGATAGGTAAAAAATAGACAAAGAGAGGTTAAAAATAGTATAGGAAATGGAGAAATCGAAGAACTTATATGCACGACCCATGGACGTGAACTAAGGGGGAGAATGCTGGGGGGAGATGAGGTGCCGGGCAGAGTGGGGCAAAGGAGAGGAAAACAATGGGACAATTGTAATTGCATAATCAATAAAATATACTTAAAAAATACAAGATGGGGAAATGAGGTTAAGAGTGACAAAATTAACTAAAAAGACCAGTTGATTTGGAGCTGGAGAAAGAGTTTCGTTCTGCCTGGAGTGCTTGCCCTCCTTTCTCATCCATGGCCCTGGAAGGGCTGGAGCAGGTTGCACAGAGATGATATTAGGTCAGATATTATGAGTTTGTATTACACGAACTTCTGTTTATTTCTAGACTCTGAGTTGCTGAAGGTCAAGGACTGGTATTGCACATCATTTTTTTCAGTCTCAGCATCTAGCACAGTAAGCATGCAATAGGCACACTACAAGTTTTTGCTAAAAAGGATGAGTGACATAATGAAATTGGGAACAGTCTCACTGGGAAATTTCACTGCTACCAAGTCAGCTTTATGACAAAAACTGTTTCACATAGAAAAGAAGTTAAAATGCCTTATTCACCTGGGCTGCAATTGGCTTACAGGAGATGATGACTCCAGCAACATCCCTGGGAAGGAGTGTTAATGAGGAAAGGGTTTTAGGCTTGAGTCCTCTCATGCTTTGGAGCTACATGTGCTTCCCAGGGCGGGCAGCCTCTGACCAGAGCCATTATCCATGGTAGGTGCCATCTTTTTGAATGTGGAAAAGGAGGACGAGAATGCGGGCCTGAGAGTGAAGCCTATGTCTGTCCTTGTCATAGACACAGTCGGGGTGGGGTGACAGAGGACAGGAAGGAGCAGGAAGTGAATTTGACCAGGAAAACCTGAGGAAATAGGGGAAATGCCACTTAGCTCAAGAGAAAATGCTTTGATGCAACAGCTATGGAAGTCAAGCAGTAATTTCCAGAAGCAGAGAGAAACGGATTTCTACAGCTCTTTGTCAGAACTGCTGTTCTTTGCTTTCAGATCTCCCCGCAACACCCCTTTCTTTTCCCAAGTTCCCTAAAATGACAGACTGAATATGGTTAATTAATCAGTCAATCAATATCCAGCGATTATCACACAGCTATTATGTGCCTACCAAAGAGGAATCTACCCGGCATGCAAACTAGGGGGTGACCCAGCCCAGGTTAGGTGACCTAACCTCAAATGTGCCTCACATGGTGTTTGACCAGATGCTTCATCTCCCTCTCTCCTCACAGATGCTTTCTGGGTAGTTTGATCTCTCCTGTACCAAGAAATTGATCATGCCAGCTACAGTTCTATTTTTCACATAAAACCTCCCTGTGACTTTATATTGTAAGCCATCTTCATTTCTCCCCTACCCCTAACCCACTCCAATTTTTGAGGGGAACGGTGGTAGGGCTCTGCCAATTAGAAGCATGGTACCCAGGCTTCTTTGTCAGCAATGCTGGGAAGGCTTCCCTTTCACATTTCTCTTTGGCTCGCAGTGTTAACTCCCAGATTCAGGAGTTCAGGGTGGTTTTTCCTTTCCATATCTACGAAATTCGGTATAAATTTGTACTCACTTTCCCTACCCTGCAGGTTTTCCTTTTCGGCTCTTATTTCCTCCATAGAAGAAGTCAGCAAAATTCTGTGCTGGGTAGTATCTATGGGAGCTGCTGTTGACAGCTGGGTGGTGGGTGGGAGGTAGAACAGAAAGAAAAAGGGAAGAAGCAGCCAATAGGAAAAAGGACTCTTGAGGCAAAAGGGAGTTGTTTTAGAAACAACTCATGGCCTCCTGTTGTCTTCCTTGAGCTTTTGTTTTCAATGTCTTGAAAACAGTCTCCTCCTTATTTATTCAGTTCTGAGAGCCTGATCCAGCTTTCAAATTGCCTGATACATGTGTAAGTACGCTACCTGTGAAGGCCCCCATCACGGAAATGAAGCTAGAATGCACAGCTAAAACTGAAGGGATGAATTTAGGCTCTGAGACAAGGGAAAATATTAACACATCGATGTTCAGAGCCTTGACCTTTACCCCACCTGAAAGAGTTCTGGGCTTTTTCTACCTGTGTAAGAGGCTGTGTGATGAGAAACAGCTGCAATGCCTGGCGAGGTTTGAGTTAGAAAGAACAGAGAATAGATATGTTACATGAAGAGCAAGAAGCAAGGGATCCTGCTCCCAGCCACTGATTAGGAGCACAACTTGGGGGAGGAGAGAGACTGGGGAGAAGCTGTTATACTGGAGGATGGAGAGAAAGAATTTTTAGAAATTTCCTGTGCATTCTAACTAGAATCTGCCTTCAGCATTTCCTCAATAAATTGTAATAGATTCTTATGATACTTTTAAGTTTTTTGTGATAATAGTTTTTTACTTTGAACGTGGCTCCACGTTAGGACGGGTCACGTGGCAGCTCCTCTTTATATGGGTTATAGACGTGTCTAACTTCATTGCAGAAACTAAGTCTGAGTAAGAGCTGGCAAGGAACATAGTACTGGTTGGAGACTGGTGTTTACAGAAAAAAAAAGTGGGGGAGCTAAGACCTTCAAAATGGTGTGAAGAAGCTGGGCTCAATTTGTCAATCAGACTGTCCTCAAATACCAAACTCTGTCACTTATGGAGCAATGGCATTCATGAAAGAACCCCAAGAACCGAGATCTGTTCTCAGTAAAACAATCTCCCCTTGTTGTCAAATGTTAATCCTTGGTTTCCTCTGTGGTCAAAGCAGCGATGCTGACCCCCACCCACCCCCAGCCACACGCTCACTGCAGACACAGGGCAAGGAGGGCAGGACTCCTGGGCTGGAGAGGCTGCTAACCACGCCTCGTAGGGCAGTAGGGGTCTCCTCTTGGCAGTTTATCTGGATGAATCCACCATCTTGGGGGCTAATGGGAACCTACGAAAGAACAACTCTCCTCCCTTAGGGTTTATTGAAATCTTTCACAAATTACCATGGGTGAGAAGTTACATGAGAGCAAAAAGAAGTGAGTAGTTCCCAAATGTCACCATTCAGGGTATTTGAGGGAAAAGCTGTTTGAGAGTTGCTTGAAAAGAGGGCACAGATGCCTTCTGACCTTTACTCCATGGCTCCAACTTCCTGGCTTTGGAAACTGCACACCAGGAGCTGTATCCGGGTCCATGGGAACAGAAAAGCCTGCCTCATCCCCCCCAACCTGACACTCGCCCCACCACCAGGCACAGGACGTGGCCCAGAACTTGCAGGCTCCAACTCGGACTCCAGCCCCTGGCCTTCTCAAGAAAGAGGTGGGAACTTTTCCAGCCTATGGGATGTCATTTTCAAAACAGCCACAACGATCCCACCCCACACTAATCTCAGGTCCAAGAATGTCCGAGGGAGCCCTGAATGTTCCCTGAGGTCCAGGGTTAAGTCTTAGTGCCCAGGATTTCAAATTGTATGATCACCACTGTCTCTGTTAAACTCTCTGTAACATACACACTAGATAAAAGATTAGAAATATAATCCATGTCTACACTAGAGCTGTTCTTATTTTCTCCATCAAATAAAACATTTCTTTTTCCCAATTTTCAGCCATAATCATTTGTAACTTTTACAATCAGAAAACTTCTCTTTTTTTATACTTACCTGGCAGGGGAGACACTATGATCACTAAGGCGGTTTTCCCAGGGCGAGGCTCACCCATTGCCCTCCGGGGGCGCTGTCCCCTGCGCTTTCCCCAGATGCGGGGAACTGGACTGCATCATTCGTGGTCGTGGGGCACTGCATTCGCGCTCTCCCCTGAACAAGAGAAAGAAAGAAAGAAAACTTCTCTTTTAACAGTGAAAATATTTACAAGTTACAAGTCCTTGCTCTGCCCCTGATTACCAAAGGATAATAACCTCTTTGAGCCTTGGTTTTTTCAGGTACAAAATGAGAAGGCTCTGCGTGTAGCTTCCTCACTAAGGTCCCATTCAGCACCAATATTCGGGAAATCTGTGAGACATTTGATTATAAGCTAAACTAATTTAGCCACAAGAGAGTACAAACCTTACAAACTTTTAAGAGTCCCAATTATATTTGTATCTAACGACAAAAAAAAAAAAAATTAGACTTAAGAGAAAATCATTTTATGTACTTCCATTTTCTCTTTTGGAGAACTTAATAGTCCATTCATTTGTCAGATTTTGTTAAGGGCCTATTATGTTCCAGGAACTCTGTCAACCATTGTTAAAATCTCCATAACAATGCACATTTCTGTGGGACTGGAGTATTAGTTAAAGTAATGCTCCTTGCTATAACACATAAAACCCCTCCGCTCTCAGTGGGTTACTATAAGAGACATTTGTCTCTCACTCATCTGAAAACCAAAATGGATATTCCTTCTTGGGGTGGAGGGATACACTCTTCTAAGTAATGATTTGGGAGCTAAGTCTTCCCCATCTTATGTCTCTGCTCCCCTTAAGACACGGATTATGAGGTCACAGCTCTAAACTGCCTTAACCTGGCAAAGAGGGGGCGACACACAGAGGGCTTATTAAGGGTTAGTGCTGTAAGTGGTCCTCGTAACTCTTGCACTGGCCCTCCTCAGTCACATGACCCTGCATCACTATGGGGGAGGCTAGGAAATGCAATCTCACCTTGTGCCCAGGAGGAAGAGAAGCACGTTTGGTGATTAGCTGTCAGTCTTTGCCTCAACAGGCATTAGCCCCATTTTGAAAATGAGGAAACTGAGACTTTGCAAGGTAGTGGCAGGTCCAGAACTAGAATCCAAGACCCTTGACTGCAACACAATTGCCACAAGCACATAAACAGCCAATGGGCTATAATTGTGAATGCTGCGACGGTGACAAGGGAAGACAAATGGACTCATTAAAGAGTGGAGATTAACCTTGCCTGGTGAAGGCTGCAGGGAACAGAGGCTCCGACAGCTTAAGTAAACTGCTCAAGACCACAAAACTTCTCAATGGCTAAGCTGGGACCCCAAGCCCGAAGTCCTCATTTTACTATGCTACCAGATTGCGTTAAATTCCATCTTGTAGGATTAATATGTGTTTGCTAGCCAAGCGAGAGGAGGCAGGGCGCTGCCAGCAGAAGGAATGGCATGTCTATAAGTCTGCAGGCAGATAAAAGCCTCCAGAGGAAGAGCAAGTCGCTTCATGGGGTCAGTTCTCTGCTACTAAAGCAATCAAACTGTCCAGCCCAAAAGTAGATTATGTCTGTGGAATATTATTTCTTAGATAGCCCAATTGTTATATTGCCTGTCATTTTTATTTTTGCATAAAATTGAACTTTATGGTTTTATGGTAATAAAATTCTTTCATTTTTACCATGTTCCTACCCACTAAGCTTTCACTAAGATATATTCTTTTATGCTACAGCTATATACTCTGATTAAAGCAGTTACAGATTCATCTAATTCCACATTCAAATAACTGTCTTGATCAATTTTTATTTTCCATATTTTTTTTGATCCATTATCCCGTTTCTCCATAATGGCTAAGATAATTTGCAGCCCCTGGCATTTTGCTCTATGTATAGGTGCTAGGCCTATATGTTTAATTGTTGTGCACATCAGCCTGGCTTGATCTGTGTTATTCTTCATTATTTGCAGACTGATTGAAATCATGAATCTCTGAAGTATAACTATTTTCAAGATTATCATCTAAATTATGTAAATAACTAGCCCCATAATTAGCTCTCTTCTTTGATGAGCTTCCGTTCAGGTTCAAAGCGTGTTCATCTGTATTCATCGGGTTTGAGGTGCGCTGAGCTCCCAGACAGGCCGGCCTATGCAGGGAGAGAGCCGCTCCAGGGCGGCGCGTGGCAGCCCCCTGACCGAGCTGGCTGGGCCACCAGCCCTCCTCTCCCAGCTCTACTCACACGCTCCCAAGTCCTTAAGTCGAAAAAATTCTTTCAAGAAGCACACAGTCGAATCCTATTTCTCTTAATCACTTTTCAGGATTCTAAGTTTGAGCACCATGTTTCTTTTTCCATATTCTTTCTATCTCTGCCAGGAAAACTTTTCACATCCTTCTAGAGAAACTTTGTATGTCTTGCCCTCACTTGGAGATAAGAAAATAGCTAAGCAATTTCCCTTCAGTAAACAGGGTTCTTGTTTCCAGCAGGATAAGAGCTAAGCCTTTCAGGCTGACCTTTGCAAGGACCCAGTCATTGGTACTGTCCTTGGTGGCATCCCTGTCAGATGAACACATTTAACCTGGGGTTGAATCCTGGCTCTGCCACCTGTGAGCTATGTGACAATTCATCTTTTGAGCGTCAGGGTCCACACTGGGAAAATGAGGTAACAATGTTCAAGTTTTGCCTGCCATGAGAACTAAGAGAAGTCAATGTATGTCAGATCCCGCAGTGTTCCTCAGAGAAGCAGGGTGTGCAACGGTTACACACTCAGACTCTGCACTAGAACACTATTCCACCACTTTTCAGTGACCTTGAACAACTTACTCAATTCCTCTGGGTCTCAGTTTCTTCTTCTCTAAAATGGCATAGTGAGAGCACCTATCTCATTGGGTTACTTTGAGAATTAAACATGAGCATTTAGAGCTGAGCTGGACATCAGTGGGTACCGTGTTTTTAGCTATTATCATTCTGGCCCAATGCTGACAGATGGTAAACGCTGGAGAAAGTTCGTTTCCTTCCCTTCCCACGTCTCTCTCACAGAGGCCTCACTGTTGGGTGGGGGCTTCCTGGCACCTCTCCCTAGTTGGAGAGTGGTGGGTTGGAAGTAGTTACAGGACCAGCACTAGCTTCTCGCTCTGGCTCTCCACAAATAAAACCGCAGACACTTCAGAACTAACACTCTATGCTTGTGTTCTCCTGTTGAACCTGAGTGTTGCAGCTGGGATCATGTGTAGATTTTCATCTTGACTTTTCCACCCCTGCCCATCACCCCAGTGTCCAAGCCCAAAAAGTCTCAGTCACCAACGTGACTTTCCAGAAATCTGACTGACTGCAGACCCAGCTGGTCTAACTCCCCGCTCAGTATCTTTCATTTTGTCTGTTTGTTTTTTTCATCCCACAAAGCGCACAGAGAGGCCCAGGACAGATCAGCCACCAAACACTACTGACTCTGTGACATGGGAGATTCTACTCAGCCATGACCTGAGTGCATGATGGGAAGGCATCTTCTCCAGCAAAGTTCTTCTGCCAAAGTGAGCTGTGATTGGCTCTACAGCCAAGAAGAGAGGAACCCTTGGGCGATGATCAGACAGACCAGAGAGGACACCAGGGAAGGCTTCTTGGAAGAAGAATCTTGAGCTGGACTTTAAAACAAGATTAAAAACCTCTAAGGGGGAAGAGCAGCCATTGGGTCAGAGGAAGAGACTCTATTCACATTGCCTATTATGTTTTCACACCAAATATCTCATGTTTAAGAATGGAACTCTACACATCCGTGATGACTGTAGATTGGTGGTTGTCAGGACTGAGAAAGGCGGGGACGGCTTATGGGTATGGTGTTTCTTTTGGGAGTAATGAAAAATTCTAAAATTAAATAGTGGTAGTTGTTGTGCAACTCTTTGACTAAAACCCACCGAACTGTATAATTTAAATGGGTGAATTTTATGGTATATGAACTCTATCTCAGTAAAGCTGTTATTTAAAAAATACGAGAATTGTCCTGGCTTGTGTGGCTCAGTGGATTGAACATCAGCCTGCAAACCGAAAGATCACTGGTTTAATTCCGTCAGGGCACATGCCTGGGTTGCAGGCCAGGTGCCCAGTTGGGAGCGTGAGAGAGGCAACCAGTCTATGTTTCTCTCATACATCGATGTTTCTTTATCTTTCTCTCATTCCTTCTCTTCCTCTCTAAAAATAAAAATAAAAATAAAATGTTTAAAAATAATAATAAAAATTAAAAATAAGATAATGGAATCCTAATAAAAATCCTGTCTTGATGAGGTCTCTGTTCTGCTGTTCCCTTGGACCTTGACAACTGCACAGAAAGCAGATGTGCTGTTGATACAACGCCACAAACCATGAAGATAAGCACAAATATCAATTGATGATAACATCTTTTCATCTAGCTCAATTGTTCTCAACAGTGTGTCCTCTTGTTCCAAGAGACATTTGGCAATGTCTGGGGACATCTTTGATTCTCAGGACTTGGGGGATGCTACTGGCATGCAAAGAGAGGGTAGAGGCCAGATATGTTGCTGAATACCCTACAATATAACAGACTGCCCCCCAAAACAAAATCTAGCCCAAATTTTCAGTAGTGCCAAGGTTGAGAAATTAGATCTAGCAGGAATTCTATAGGCTCCTCTTATCACTTCTCTTTTACTGCAAATTTTATTTTAAGGCACTAAAATGAATATCTAAAACAACTCAAAAGTTCTTTTCCCAAAGAAAATTTTTTCTATATATAAATGTAGCAATAACATCCTAGTTTTAATTTGTTCCAGATTCACAAGGAAAATAAGCTTTTCCTGTAATTTCCTGGTTTATTCCTCTTTTGAAGACAAAACTAGGTAAAATATTTACAAGAATATGGTATTTTCACTAAATTAAAAAGTTTGTATGCTCACTTCTATTATTCTCTGAAGCATCTTAGTTATTCCTCCAGGGGGGAAAAAACCCCACTTTACTTACCTGAACGAAAAAAAAGAATTTCTTCTTCCTTTAAAACAAAATTTAAAAGAAAAATATCTTACTGGAAAAACACGGTGTGTGTTCATCATTTAAGGGATGTAAGACTGAGAGGGAGGGTCTGACATGCCTTTTATGGTGGAGGGTAAGGAAATGGAGCTTTCGGCTTGTCTGAATTTGATTCTCAGCTCTGCATT